CCTACTCAGAAAACCCCAAATCTGTGGGTGTTAAACTGAAAAGAATCCCAGAAAACTACTGGGGTTTGTTGAGGAACTGCAGGATCACATGGCATTTTAAACACTTTTGTGTCTGACAGAAAAACTAAATCACTGCATTTTACATATGTCTTTTTGAATTAGAAGAAAGTTATTTCACAAATACTTGATGTTTTGGCAGTGTTTGCTGGAGTTCAGACATGAAAAAGGGGAGCTGGACTGAAAATAAGTATTTTTGATAATGAATAGACTGACTCATGGGAAAAACACATTGATTGACCTCATAGTTAAGTGCCAGTCATCTATCTCATTCTTCTGTTGGGGGTGTTTTAACTTCAAATAAATTGCATCATTGTATCTACCAGCAAAATGGAAATTCCATCTCAGTTTTGATAAGGTTTATCAATACAAGAAAAGAATGACATTAATGCTCATTGAACAGATGGGTTCTTAGGGGGCTGTATTTTTATAATGATACGTTAAATTTTTTATCAGTTTTCCTAGTGAGATCAGCATTATTTATAAGCACTGAAGACATTAGAAAATACAAGCATGGCAATAACAAAATGTGGAAAAGGAGCACTAGAAATCATGTGGCAACATTACCACTGAGTATTTTTAGCCACATTCTCAGCAATTCACCAGTGGCTTTTCAAGGATGACTTTCCTGACCTCTGAACCAAGAAGTCACTTAAGCATTTTGTAATTTGAGTGGGGCTACCTAAAATCTTAAAATGAGACATGTGACTAAGAGGGCTGAGCTCAGACACAGGCAAATAGATGGTTGTTGCTGGCAGAAGATTGCTGACAAGGATGAATTCACAATAAAACAGCCAAGCCTTTAAGCCCCCTCCTCCTTGCTGACTGGGACCCCTTAAAACAGCACATTCCACACATCCAGAGCTGAGCAGGGAGGGCTGGAACTGCCTGTGTTCCCTCTCCTCTTGCTGGCCAGTGCTGCCACACCAGCTCAGACCTGGGGCACTGAGAAGCTGTTGCTACTCCTGAAGTGCCTGAAGTCAATCCTGCCTTTCTCACTGCAAATTATCAACCTGAATTCCCTGCAGAACTGTAGCCCATTTTATAAATGCAAGAGATGCAGGCAGCTCAGCAGAAGCCACACAATGCTGGCACAATCAGCACTTTACACTGTTTCCTAATCCCACATTCATTCCTTGAGACTGGAGTTCCACAAACAGGAAAAAAGTAGGTAGCAAAAGTTTGAGTAGGTAAATTTTTGTTTCTTTCCTTAAAAGAAATGTGTATGCAATTCTTTATCATAGCTTTAAAGGTTTGCATGGAATACACAGAGTTTTTCAGGTAATTTGTTGACAATTTATCATGACATTTCACTGTCTCTGAAGTTACTGAATCTTGCATGGAAAGACATTCAAATGTGCAGCCTACACACAAAAGCCCTTTTTGTTATCTGCAAACAATTAATTTAATTGCAATAAAAAACTACTAGTGCAATTTCTACCTGGAGTAGAAGTGTAAATAAAGAATAAACCTGAGATGAGGAAACATAGTGTAGCATTTATGTGCTTTATGACAGCAAGCTTCAATACTATCATTATGCTAATTTATTCCAGGCAACCCCTTCCATCTCAGTGGTGGTTAAGGTCCAATTCTGGTAGAGATGGGTAAAGTTCCCTGAGCTGGACACCAGTAGACTGATGGTTTGGGTGATCTTCAGCTGCCCATTTGGATTTGGGGACCTTTCAGTATCTTTCTACCTGAGTGAACTACAGCATTAGCCCTTTCTTTGCTTTTGATGTAAGGCTGATTTTGGTTTGTGCTTGCATCCCAGGCTATTCCCAGTGGTAATTCAGACACTGATTTACAGGTTCTTCTATAATCCATGGGGCCAGGAGCCCCTGGGACAGGGGGAAATCAAGAAACATGCCAGAATCTTTAGCCAGCTGCAATAGCAGACCCTTGCTGATGTGACTTTAACAGCATTGAGCTAGGGAATGCACAGGAAAACTCCTGTACCTGACTGGGGGAATCTGGCAGGGGTGAGGAATGGCAGCAACCTCTTCCAGTGACACCAGGGAAGTCACAGCTCAACCTATTTTGCTCAGAAGTTCCCCAGTTCAGAGCAATTTCTACAACTGATCTTTCCTGATCCAAACTAATTTTGAGTCAAATGAGTCAAATGCTGACTCCTCTGAGCAGGTATGAACCTGTGTCATGTTGGTATAAAAACCTTTCAGCATGTGGAATTAGGAAGTACCTTTTAAACTCTGTTCACTGAGATAAAAAGGTGTTTCTGTGTAAATCTGACCTGAAGAAACTTGTGCGTCCTACTTGTAATTAATATATTGAATGCTTCTAAACTGCCAGAAATCCATGCCAAAAATCAGAGATAATAAAATCCTCGCAGCTGGACTACACAAACATGCTTCAGAGACCTGTCTGAACCCACTTTGCAGTCATTTTAACTTCCAGATGTGAGCAGTCAGTCCAGTGACTCCAGTACAGCTTAAAGGCTGCCAAGATTAAGAAGTTTAGCCAACTGTATAAATAGGAATGGAATTTAAGTAAGGGCAGTAAATGCCAACCCCCTTCATTTTAGTGAGTTACAGGAGTTTTGAATGGAAACCCTTACAATTAAACAAAATGAGTGCTGCAGCCAGAAATTTTGTCTGATTGGAATGAAAGAGGGATGTGCTGCTTCTGTCCCAAATACACCCTCCTATATTAAACCATTTCCCTTGGGATCAAACAGACTGTGACAGATTCTGCAGTGAAAGCCTGCTCCAAACATCATCTCTGCAGAAATATTCCAGTTGATTTCAATGGGCTCTGGTACAGGGCCATATTGGCATTCTTTAAAACTTTACTGAACTAAGTTTTCCAGGGGAGCTGCAGGAGCAAATATAATGACTTCAAAACCAAGCATGAAGGTCACTGTGACACAAATCACATCACAGGGAGGAAATGACAGCAGAATTAATTCATTATTATTTATCTAGATTTAAAAAACCTTAAGTTCACTGCTGTATTTTCCAGATGAAGGAAACTTCCAAGTTGCTGTTGATCCCTCACAGATTTTTCAGTCTGAGTCACAAACTACTTATTTGTCACAGACCACTGAAATAATGATAAAGTTTGCAAGAGGAGGATACACTTACTAAAAACATGCACAAAATTTAATGTATTTGGGACCTTTGTCTATCTGATAGCAGCCAACATCAACTACCTATTTTTTTCTGCTATTAAGTGCAAATTAAAGTCCCACTGATCATCAGTAGGTGTTAAACATGAGCTTGCCCTTAGGATTTGGAATTCTCTCATCACCAGTTTAGCTCTTTGCTGACCTAGTAGTCAACACACTATTTTACAACAGGCCATCTCACTTGCTTGAGATATTTATTTCCCCACATGTAATGCTGTAATTTCAAGGAGACTAGCTTGGGAAGAAGGATGACTGTGTAAATATAAAAGACAAGGTATCTTTGGGCATTTATTATGTTCTGGATTGGGATGTTACTGTTACAAATTATTTGGGAAAACCCAAAAGAGAATCCACAGGCAAATCCATGGAAAACATTCATCTGTTTGAGTAAAGGAGTTTAGCAAACATCAATGGAAATCTTTACTGAACATTTCCTATGTGTGCTTATATACATCTAGATTAGAGACAGAAAATGCCACTTATATAATCCCAGAACTGGAGATACTAATCTAGATTTTAACAAGGCATAAAGAAGAGAATTGCACAGAATACTTAAAACGTAAGTATTAAAATGATACTCAGCATTCTGCAAACCTGTCAGGGAAAGGATTCCCTCCTGCTGCACAGCCCCACTGTTTAATGTAAGTCCATCAATATATATGGGAATTCTTGTCTGTAAGCCTTGAATGACAAAGCCTCATGTCCAACCTCGCTGTTCTCACTGGGAAGATAATAACAATTAATTTGATAGAATCCTGAGTCTCTTTGTAAATTGTAAGAAGAGATGGAGTAAACAAAAGCAGAAACTGCTGCAGTGCAAAGAGCACTTGCACTACCCCGGGAATGAGAAAAATGAACACAAGCATCACATTGACTATTAAGTGCCTGCAGTCCAATTCTTTCTTTCAAAACAATGACTGTTTTTGTCCCATCCATTTCTCTGAATTACTCAAGGATTTCCTGATCTGCTACAATTAACTACTATCAGGTATATTTGAAACCTGGGAGTTCTGCACATTTCTCAGATACAATGGAAATAATGTAGTCCTGTAGTTTCTTCTCTTCAAGATGCTTCCCTTCCCCATTCAGAGATCCAGGCGTCCTCCTTTTGCTAGAATCCACACAAACATGCATTTTACAAGCATGCCCAGGTTTGAGAACTGTTTACAAACCAATCTGTTTTCAACCTACTCTACATGCATCCCCCACTGGAGTGTTCGTAATGTGACCTCTGCACACTGCCAAGAGCTCAGGAGAGAGAAGAGGGAGATCGGTTTGATACCCAAAGCATCTCCCTCCCTCCCCTTTTCCTCTGCCTTGCCGTGATCATCGAAGGCATCCGCAGTCCAAGCCCTTGCACCTTCTCACACCTGCCCTGAGCCGGGATTTTCGTTGGCAGCCCTGAGTGCCTGTCCCCTCCCTTCTCCCACCACAGCCCGAGCCATCCCGCCGGGTGCCGGGGCCCGGGGCAGCCCCCGCACGGCAGCGCCCCGGCCCCGG